GCTGCAGTTTGAGGCAATTGCTCTTAGTTCTGTTCCCTAGCCACGTGTTCTGCTGCCCCACATCTCCTTGCCCCTTGGACATCCTCAGCACCCACCATGTTCCACATGTGTGCAGCCTGACACCTCGTCCCTCGGGGGCAGGTGTCCTTGGGCTTTGCCCGTTTTGGCCCTGGGGATGGAGTTTAGGTGGGGAATGTCCCAGAAGTAAATAAGGCCAGACACTGGCCCACTGGTTCCCAGTCCCAAACAGTGACCTGGACTAATGTCCAGGTGCCACATTGGGAGCAAATGGAGCCAGGCAGAGCTGGGGGAGCAGACTGAAGCTGTGCCTAATACACTTGAATTACATGTCATATTATGTTAGAATATAGCAAAACTATTAAGAGATCTCACACTTCAAAATGTAATGTTTATAATATTTATACTATATTTATAGACATTTTTTAAATGGGGTGCCACTAAATTCTGTGATCTTGCAGCGGGGGGGTGCCCTGAGTCTAGAAAGGTTGAGAACCACTGGGATGTGGGAAGCAGTGGGGGGTCTGGTAGGGCTCCCAGGGTCTAGGGCACATACTTCTCCTGGGGGAAAGTCCTATCCCCCCTTCCCCGCTCCTGTCCTGCTGCAATGAGGGAGCAAACGGTCCCCTCTGAAGCCAGCAGGAAATAGGTTAAGCATCAGGAAGTCCTGAGCCATGCTTTTCAGAGCACAGCATATCCATGTGCAGAGGCAACAGGGGCTCCACACCTCAGTCCTCTGCAGCTGCATAAAGAAGAGCAGCAGTGAAAAGCCTGGCTTGCCATTAAATGCAGCACTTCATTAAGATATCTCAAAAGCCATGTTTCCCTGCAGCCCTTTTTACTACGCTCCTGCAATTCTTGTTGCAGCCCCACACCTTATACATCTTACTCCGTCAGTCTTGAGGCAAGAGTTTTTGCAATATAATTTACTGGACCAACTGTATAGTTGGGAGACCATTGGATAAAGTTTTGGGAATCAAGTGCCCGTCTTCAAGTCACCTTGTCCAACAGCCCTCGCAACTTTACAGGTGGTCCAACAAACAATATGACAAAATATCTTTGCTGGAGACTTAAAACGTGGCTTTGTTCAACCGCAGGTGAGAAGCGTCATGTTGAACATTAACTCAGATGTGGAAATAACTGTCAGTGAAATGTTGGTTACGCTGTCAGGATGCTCAAGGAGGTTAGATTTTGTTGCATGATTCTGAATAAGAGATGGCCATTTAATTCTAATGGCTTGCTTATTATTTGTGTGGTTTGTCGCATTTTTATACTTAATAAATCATAGCGTAAATACAGTTATATTTGGTTTTGCTTCAGGCATGCATTGAATAATACAGCCCTAGGCCCCTAGCAGATCAGTAAAGCTTCTAGTTTCTTTTGAACTGGAGAAAAATGTTATATGCAGTGATGCATCACACTATCTCCACCCCACATTTTCAAAATCCTAGATCTGCCCATGGGGCCATGTATAGATGTCACCGTGGACAGAGAGGTGGAGATCAGATGAGTGCCTGTCCAATAGGCATGGCTGTTGGGGCATGTGTCCATGAATGGGCAGATGTGTATAAAGTGGGGGGCAGGTGCCTAATCACATATGTGGATAGGGATGTGTCTCAGGCTGGGAGCTGGGAGTGGGGTGGAAAGATGCCTACAGGAGTGTGCCCCAGTGGAAATGAATGCCGTTTTCTTGGCCCCGAGGGTCCATTCAGTGGCGGCCCAGCCTCCCTTCATTTGGTGTCAGTTGGTGGTTGGGACACTCCTGACATGGTCCCATTCCCCTGGGGCCCCCACTGTGGTCAAGGAAAGTTTTCTATCAGCATGACACACTAGGGGAAGTTTCACAACCCTGTGCTGGAGCAGCGGGCCCAGAGACAAAGGCTCCATTGTTCAGTGGTTTGTGCCAGTGACTGGGGATCTCTGGCTCATGCCCTCATCTCGTGCCCTACACTAGACGGGCTTTCTGCAGCAAGCACAATGCTATACCCCGCCGAGATCCCACACCCCCCACAGCAAGAGTTTACTCCCAGAGTAGCTGAGTCTGCCACAACTATCTGGGCTTGCGAGACCCATGGTTCATCAATCATCTGCTGTGACCTCAAGACCCTTTTCAGAGTCATGACCTTCTTGCATGAGAGCTCCCACTTGGGGTTTGAGATGCAGCGTCCTGGTTGCTGGACGTGTGTCCACACCCTGGCCGTGCTCCAGAGCCTTTTGCCCAAAGAGGCCTCCTGATCAGTCGTCCCAGGAGTGCAGACCTCTGTGTCTCGGTCCATTGGCCCAGGCGGTCGTTCCAATAAGGTCATTTTTCCATCTCATGCACCATATTCTGCGAGCAGCAAAACATGCCCTGTGAACGTGGCTGATTTAGTCTAGATTTAGACTGATGGCAGACGAGAGAATATCTTCAAATCAGTCAAAGGTTGCTGGAAAGAAGGGGGTGATAGACCGTTCTTCACGTCTGCTGGGAACTGGTTAAGAAGTAATGGGCAACAGGGGCCATGTCGGTGAGGTGTGGAGAAGAGCTTTCTAGCTGTAAGGATGGTGAAACTGGAACAGGTGACCTGGGGAGGCTGTGGACCCTCCGTCACTGAGGATTATAGGAGCTGCAGAGAAAAACTTCCTCGGGAGTGGGGCAGAGGGGTAGGATCAGTGACTTCTCAGGGTCCCATCTATTATATGGAATTACTTTCTTGTTCCAAGTCATGCTCCAAACTCCATCCCTTCCTCGGCTTCTGCACCATGAGCCCCGTACCTCTCCCCCATTCTGGGTTGGGAAACTTCCCCCTCCACCGTTATAGCGTGAGCAGGCTCCCCACAACCACAGGGACCCTGTGGGGCCCACGTCAGGATTGCCCCAACCACCAACCGATATCCAACGGGCGAGCAAAAGCTCAGGCAGGACAGAGTGGGCAATCAGGCTTCATCCACTGCCCGTGGTTGGGATTTGGGCTTTCCTGGCTAACTGGACCATGGAAAGCCTGACTGTAGCCCCTGGGCCTGTGTGTGTAGACCCTGAGTCTTGGAAGAGATGGGGCTGTTGTTGGGGGACTGGGCCCAAATATCCAGGGCTAAGGGACTCCTCGACCCACGTAGCCTGGGTTCCCAAGTAGTCTGAACAACCCTGATCTTCCACTCCAGACGAGGCCCTCGACCCAGGCTACTCGCTCAAACTAAGCATGGCCAGGGCAGGAGAAAGCTCGAGAGTCACCGGGCGAGGCAGTCCTGGACTGGAGACACACCGACAATTGCCCAGACACACACCCAGACAAAGCACGTGTTCTCCCAGACACGCATGTGCATTAACTGTATACCGGCAGACAAGGTTTTTTGGGGGAACCTGGTATCTTTTATTAGACCAACTTAAATAGTTGGAAAACAATTTTTAAGCAAGCTTTTGGGTTCAAAAACCCTAAGTTTCTTTAGATCAACAGGGCTACAACCTATACCCCTGTTAACTGTATACCCACATTCACGCAGATCTTCACTGTACACACTTGCACACAACTGTGATGGGAGTAGCATCGACTGGGGTACAGTGGGGCACAGGGCTGGGAGCCAGGATTTCTGCCCTGGTGCACTGCTCGGTTCAAGGTGACAAGGCAGCTACATGAGGAACTGGGTGTGGGGTTTGCCATGTCTCAGCCCTCCTGTTAGCAGGGCCATGCCCACTCCCCCCTTAACCCCTTTGCGTAACACAGGGTCTCTGGCCCCTCAGTGGGAGGAGTCACCATGCCCCACCTCAGACCCTGCCTGGTTTCTATATAATGGGTGCAAGGGGGACAGATTGCAGGGATTCAGCTCTCGTAGCCTGGAGTCATCTCTGACGGGCGCTCCATCCTCCGGACTTGGGTAAGTATGGGAGGCACATTGCTTAACAGACCCAGCCACAGGGAGGGATGCAGAGGCTGCCCCTGGGGAGATGAGATAAGATCCAGCCTTGACATCATAAAGTAACAACAGATTTACCCTGGGGGAGCTGAGAGCAGAACGGGGCCTAACCCCACTGCATCCAGGGGCTGGCTCATGATTTACCCCAGGGGAACTAAGAGCAGAATCCAGGTTTGACCCCTGCAGCCAGCAGCTGACGTCTCACTTTCTGAGATCTGAATTGAGCCAGGAAAATTAGAGTCAAAGCAGAGGAGACCTAGGTTCAGGGCTCGCAGGCTCTGTCCCCAACACTGGGAGGGGATTTGGATCCAGGACTCAGAGCAGAAGTGCTGGGAACTAGTAGAAAGGACAAATGTTTGCTATTTATAGGGGTTAAGGTTGTAGCCGTGTTGGTCTAAGGACATAGGCAGACAAGGTTCCTTGGGTGAATTTGATATCTTTTATTATTGGGTTCGTCTAATAAAAGATATCAAATTCACCCAAGGAACCTTGTCTGCTATCTTATAGTACACAGGTGGTTGGGCCAAGAGGCTTTCTTGGGGTCAGGGAGAGCTGGTTTTGATTCCCAGGCTCTAAAGCTCATGATAAGATCTTAGAGGCCAAACTGGGTGTATTTCAATGGGAATTGGGGATCTAGACAATCTCAGGTGCCCTGGAAAGGCCTGATCTTGATGTCCCTATGCCTCCCTCGCCCAGCACCCTGGCAGCAAGGGACCCTTTCCTTGTGCTTAAGTCATAACATCTTCCTCTCTGAACCTGGCCTTCAGAGTGCTTGTGTGAATGGGCATGTGCGTGTGCATGTGCATGGATGCATACATGTGTGCAAGCACAGGGCACAGTGGGGCTTTGCTATAAGCAGGGTCACTGGATGCAGTTAGATAGGAATGGAGGAGATGGGCTTAGGGGCAGAATTCGGCAGGGGGCAATGGGAGGGAGAGGAGCTTGGGGAAGGTGGTGCGGGAGGGTGATGGGAGGAGGCAGGGCCAGGGGCTAGCATTGTCGTAGGGAGGCACTCCCTCGCCATCCCGTGTCTCCACCTCCAGGAAGATCCTGTGAAGGACAGAGCCATGGCTGCAAGGGGTCCGCGCCCCATGGTGCTGCTGCTCTCTGCACTGCTGTGCCTCTGCCTGGTCCAGCTCGCCCAGGGTGCCACCTTCCGGCAATTTGTGTCCAGGCATGTTAACGAGCCCAAGACCGCCGCTCCTAACAACAACGCTTACTGCAATCGCTTGATGCAGCAACGGGGCATGACCCGGCCCCGCTGCAAGATTACCAACACCTTCATCCATGCCCCTATCAACCAGATCAGAGCCATCTGCACCAATGGTGGGAGACGTTTCAGCAGGCACCTCTTTGACAGCCACATGTCATTCTCCCTCACTGGTGAACCAGAGACGCGGCAGGTCTTGTAGCTATACGGGCAGATCCCAGACCCGCAGGATCCGGGTGGGCTGTGTCAACCGGCTGCCTGTGCACTTGGACAGAATCCTGTAGGGCTCAAGGGCTAGGCCATGCAGAGAGCATCCAGCTTCTTGCACAACCTGCCTTTGCTCTCATGACATGCCCTCCTGCTTTTTGCTCTTCCTAGGCTAATGCTCACTGAGTTTCCACGTGCCAGTTGCTCGGGGCCTCGGGGTGGGATCTCCCAACCTTCCCTTCATGTGCATGAGCACGAGGCATCCATCTCCCACCCCTCACCTTCTGCTTCCTGCTAGTGTCCATTATACAGTGAAGCCAACCCTTCCCCATCCCTTGTCCACTGAGCGGGTAGATGTTAACTGTGCAGCGCGGGGATTTGACCGTCTCTGATTGCACCTTGGAAAATGGAAGTCTGCTCAATTCTCCTGCTGTTCTTGCAATAAACTACTTCCCTGCAAATTCAGAACGAGCGTGTGTGTGTTTGTGCAGAGCACCTTGCAGAGAACATCACGCGATTGCTTAGCAGTATGAAGGGAATGGGATACGGGGCCTTTTCCCTGGAGCCCATGGAGGGAGGGGGTGTCTGAGCAGTCCCTGGGGGGAGAGGCCCTGCCTTGGAGGCTACTGCAGGTGCAGTGATGCAGTGACATAGGAGGGTATGAACATAAGTAGGGGTGGGTGTGGGGATATGCAGATGTGCACAGTGGAGCCGGATGGCAGTCTGTGTGCATCTGTTGGGAGTGGGTACACATGAGCAGCCACGTGTCTGCCCACACTGATCTAGGACCTTTGTGAATGGATATCCCAGCTAGTCCTCTTCCCTGAATAAGTCCAGCCAGACATAACCGTCCTAGCACAAGACTTAGCACTTGTGGCCTAACCCTTCAGTCAAAGACGAGCCCGAGCCCAAGCCCAACCCAGGAAAACGAGCAAGGCGTGAGGGCTCCTTTTGCACTGGGGCAGGCCCTGCTCTCCTGCTGCTGTCAGCCGGCAGCGGGGACTTTCCTGAAATGGTTCAAGTCCCCTAAAAGCCCCTGTGGTTTGGGGGGGCGTGGGGACAGGAGGGAGGAGGCTGCTCTCAGCATAACAGCAGGAAACTCCTCACACAGGAGAAAGTTTCTCTGCCTAGAGCCGTGGTTATTGGCACGGTTATCTCCACTGCACACTAGTGTGGGGAGTACCCGACCGGAGCCAGGGCTCTGACCCAGGGTCCTAGATATGTGCCCCCACACTGGTTGTATCCCAGCACCTTTTGTTCCCAGGTGGTCCAGTTTCCAGCAGATTATAGCCTTCCTCTTTGCAGCACCCTTTGCAATATTTGAAGATTGGTATCAGTCTGTCAGGTCATTTTGCAACCTTTGGATAAATAATTAATGGGGAACATGGACTGTTGATGCAATTCAGCAACTTGCAAAACCCTGTTTAGAGGAGGAAAACAGGACATCATTAAGTAACACTGAGAATATGTTGAAGGGAGAAAATGCAGATAAAAATACAGTGGCATATACAGGAGGGTTGAATACGTGCTCTCTCATAGCTAAAAGGCAGGGAGACTTTCTGCTCTCAAAAGGGCTTTATTGCAACAACTGACACACACAAAGATGCCGACAACTTCCCGTTGATGCCGTCATGCAGCCCTCAGCAAGGGAATGACCCCTTCCTAACACAGTATGAAAAATGCCAAGTAAAACAGGTATTTTCAAGAAAAGCCCTTCTACAGAAACCTGTGTCTCCTCCACAGGAGGCAGGTAGATTGGCATCTCGCTGATGAACCAAAGTCGACTTGTATAGAGAGCACGACAGGCCAAGGCTCAGCTAAACAGTTCTCCTCAAGCCTCATTGAACTTATAAATGCTGGAGATGGTTTGTTTCTTGAAACCCTTAGTCAAGGGGGGTCAAGAACAACATGCTGAGCAGAAGGAAGTGGTTTAGATGGCAGTTTAAGACAAAAGAAAGCCAGGAATAGCTAAAGAAGAGGGGGGTACAGGGTCAATATTTGCAGCTAGCAGCGTTAGTGTTACACGTTAGCCTTCCTCTCGTGCAGATACGGGACCGTTGCTTGTTTGAATCATTATTATTTATTGCCCCCCCTCCTTCGTCCCCCACAAAAAGTAGGGGTTTGTTATACTGCAGCCTGGAAGGTAAAACTTTCTCACAATTTATACACTGGGGAAAAATGGGCTAACTTTACCCTGGACTAGACCTGGTGATGTTTCTGGAGACAGCTCAGAGAAGCCCTGGAGCATCATGCAGTCACCCAAGGCTCAGCTCTGAGCCCAGGCATTTTCCTGTTCACTGATCAGGAAGCTCTGTGATAGCATCCCAAGGGGCCGAGAGTTGCATGTTTGCAGCAGAAGAATGAGAGGACAATATGAGATGCACCAGCTCCAGCACCAAGCACAGAGGTGACAGGCCCTCCCCGCTCCCATGTTTATCCATCCAAGGGATCCCCTGGCCCATTTGGCCCCCGTGTTGCCCTGGCAGATTGTTTCCAGATGGTGCAGGGTGATGGAGAAATTGGGTAATGTTGGTAGATGCTAGTAGCTCAAGCCTAGGGCTTGAGCTTTTTAAGCTCACTCTCAATCCAGGGAATGAAACTGGAGACTTTTGCAAACACTTGAGGGAAGGTCCTTCTTCGGGGTCCGTAGGAGAGGATGCCGTGGGCTGTCCCGTTGCACACCAGTGCTCCCTCAGAATCAACCTGTGAAATAAAGCCAGATGTGAGATGAGTCTCATTGCATCCTTCTGTGGCAGAGATGGGATTCGCCGCCCCTCTCTGCACCAGGATGCGTTTCAATATCACACCCAACAAGGCTGACACAGTCCGGGGTCATCCTGCAGTCTGGGCCAGCACCCACAACTTGGGGTCAATGTCCCTTACTTCATGAGCCAAGGAACACACTTACTCTGAAAGCTGATTTCTTGCTGGAGGAGTCCCCGGCACACATCTGCACCCGGGCAGCATACGTGTAGAAAGCCTTCTCGCAGACTCGATCACGCCGCACCGGCAGGTCCACCTCCAGCAGCACATTCAAGGACTTCCAGTTCCACAGGCTTCTGCCTTCCCAGCCAGACACACGGCACACGGTTCCCGGTTGCACTGCTTCCCCTTTTGCAGGCAGGCCAATAAGTTGCCCTTGGTCATTCAGCTTGGCTTTTTGAATCAGCTGCCATGGAGAAAAAACCCCACAGGATAAAGACTCATCCCGCAGAACAAGGAAGGAGCCTGAGCTCCTGCGGGGTGGGATTATGTGACGGGGCCAGACCCTGCAGCAGCGTGAGTCACTGGGGACAGGCTAATATAACGAGGGAAGTACCTGCAGCAGCATGATGTCATTGTGTTTAGTTTTCCTCCTGTATTTCGGGTGGACAATCTGGTGACGCACGTCAATCTTCTGTGAGTTTGCTTCTGGTTTCCGAACGTTGTGAGCTCCCAGCACCACAGATATTTTGTTTAAATCCCTGTGTGGAAATCTCAGGATACTGTAGCTGTCCAGGCATTGCAAACAGGATGTCTAGAGCATTTCTCTGTGGCTCTTACACTCTCTGACCCCTTTTGGGTGCTGTGGTCCAGATCCCAATGCAGTTCTTAGACACACAAGCGGGCTTAAGCAGCTGAGTGTGATCTTATTCCACCTTGCTCAGAGCCACTGTCACTGGTGGACCAGGGCTCCCATCTCCTATGATCCGTTCAGTAGATCCTGGGAAGGGAATGCAATAGGGGGTCTTTTCCCTGGAGGGCCAGTGGCTCTGGTCTGGCTCCAAGGTGGGCATATTGGCCAGCTCAGGGGGGGGGAAGTGAGACACAGGGCCCAGGGGGGGGTCTAGGAGTGGGAACGATAGCACGGCACACGATCATATATAATGCAACATGTATTGCTTATCCGGTTAAAGAGAAACTAGATGCTTTAGTAAGATGCATTGTGGTATTCAGTTTATGATGAAAGCAAACCAAATATCACTTTTGGAATATCCACGAAATTGCTAGATTATAAAGAAACTTTAAAAAGCAGAACAAACTAGGGAAAAATAGGAAACAGTCAAAAGATATTGTGTCATTAGTCACTATGCCTGGAGAAGGGTGATTGCACCTGAAATCTTGCCTAGAACTTTTTCCCAAGTACTCAGTTGCCCGTCTAAAAGATATCACATCTACTCAAAAACCATGCCTGCCTATGTGCTTAGATCAACACAGTTACAACCAAAAGTCTACAGTCACTGTATACTCACAATCATGCAGATCGTCACAGATATACTGTACACACTTGCACACAACTGTGATGGGAGTAGCATCGACTGGGGTACAGTGGGGCACAGGGCTGGGAGCCAGGATTCCTGCCCTGGTGCACTGCTCGGTTCAAGGTGACAAGGCAGCTACATGAGGAACTGGGAGTGTGGGGTTCAACTTCTCGCCTAGTGCACGGTCCCTGGTCCCTCAGTGGGAGGAGCCACCATGCCCCACCTCGGACCCTGCCTGGTCTCTATATATTGGGTGCAGGGGGGACAGATTGCAGGGATTCAGCTCTGATGGGCGCTCCAACCTCCAGACTTGGGTAAGTATGGAAGGCACATCGCTTAACAGACCCAGGAGGAGATGGGCTTAGGGGCAGAATTAGGCAGGGGGCAATGGGAGGGAGAGGAGCTTGGGGAAGGTGGTGCGGGAGGGTGATGGGAGGAGGCAGGGCCAGGGGCTAGCATTGTCGTAGGGGAAGGA